TTTTTTACTCAAATACTATCAACTTTACAGAAAAACTGCAAGAGACAAAAGTTATTTATTTTCTTCTCATAAAGTTCTGAGAATTTTTTCAGAATTTTTATCAACTTTTTAGTATTGCATTTTCTTATTTTTACCAACATAAAAAAATACGGTGTTAAAAAATTCTGAAAAAATTCTGAAAAAATTCTCAGAACTTTATGAGAAGAAATCCCTGTATACGCACGCACGCACGCACAGATTATCATAATACAATATTTTTATAAAATATTTTTTAGAGGTAAAATGGATTTTAAAAAACTCTAATACAAAAATATCGAAGTTACAATAGGTTTTTAATTATAATTGATCAAAGATAGCTTGTAATTAAAAAACAATTATAGCCTTGACATTTTCGTATTAGAATGTTCCAAAGATTCCAGAAATAATAATAAAAACTATAAAAATAAAATAGTTTTTGACATATAAGCAGTTAAAGTTAGCTTATAATTCAAAAAATTATTGCACCCTCAATATTTTCGTATTGTATATACATTATACAGGGTGCTTGAAAATTATCGGCTAATCGATCACGAGCAGGTAGAACGGACTGAATTGAATCGAAAAATCTTATACCATTTTGTAGGTTGCACAATAGTTAACGAGATATTAAAGATAGCCGAATAAGCGCATCCGGCCGGCCTACTCTCTGCTGCCGAATATACAACCTACCGTCCCCACCGATCGCACGACGCGCGGCCCAAAATACGAAATTTTTATGTCGCGACATAATAAAAATTTCGTATTTCTACACGGAGAGAATTTTTTCTTAGAATTTACCCTGAAAATATGACAGTCGTGGGACAACATTGTATTTCGAAGAATTTTAATATAAATCTCTCTGATTCATTAATAAAACTACAATAAAGTATAAAATAAGTTTGATCAATTTTACTGAAGTGCATGATAAAAATCTTTAAAATATTGTATTGTACCACAATCACCATATTTTCAAGGTAAATTTTAAAAGAAAATTCTCTCCGTGTATTATGTTCCGACATAGTTCTAATTAATAGAAATATTTATGTCACGACATAATTTTAACTTTCATTAAAAATCGTAATTTTTTAAGAATTCAACACATTAGACTAAATTTCTTTTATGCTATTAAAAAGTAACA